ACACTCATTTTACCGACTGTGTCATTTCACCGACATTTTAGCCCGATTTAGGGTTAGGGTTTAGCCAGTTTTATATTTTCGGTGAAATTATTGTTGGTGAAATAATACATAATACTCTGAATACGTAAAAGGTCTAATTTATAGGAGTATATTTAGATAAAGGCCCAATTACAGTATGTAATTTTTAGGGATCGATCCTTAAATCACATGATAGTTATATGGGACCTAAATCCTTTATGAATTTCAAGATCTGCATTCGTTGAACGTTGAATTGTGCACTTGCAATAGCCTTTGGCAAAAAGAAATTCTTGCAATTGGCAAAGTTTTTTTTTTTTGGTTTTTGAAAGGCATACGCCTTAAGATCCTAGGACCGGACCGGACTGGATTCGCAATTTAACATCCCTAGTAATTTTGGACGGATTAGACCCATCAGGGTGATAATGATAATTCAAAAAGAAATCATATATTAACCCTTCAAAAATGATCTACATCAGGAACTATCGCTACGTATTCAATAAATAAATAAATCGAACGCAATAGACCGGATATCAAAACTTTATTAAAGTGAATGTTTTTTAAAAAATATGTACAGCATACATCAGTGCGATCGAAGTATAAACAAATAAGTGTGTAGTAGGCCAGTGGTTTCCCACCTGCATAGCACAGGCTAGCCGTGAAATGAAAAAAAATTAAATAGCAGAATTCTATTGGTCTTCCAAACAAATTAAGAATTTTGCCTTTTTTTTTATATTCGGTGTTTCTGTTGTAATTGTAAAATGATATATTTGTAGCTTGCCTTCTTACCTATTCTGTTTGGTGTGTTTATTTGTTAATTGCCTTTTAACAATAATGCTTTGCATTTTGATAGTTCTAAAAGAATAACAGGACTTGAGTCTGTGATCATTTAAGTAGCCTTTTTTTTTTTTTTTATTCGAAGATTTTCATCATTATTTTTCTTGCAATGAACTTCTCTAAATAATTTTAAAATTTTATATAAATTTATAATAAAAGTTCATTTTACCTGAAGAAAATGATAGAAGCTTTCGAAAAAAAAGCTGCTAAATATTGACATTGAATTTATTTATTTTTTTTATAAAATGGTATTCCTTTTATATTCAAATTACACATATTAGTCGATATGAACACCAAAATTCTGTACATAAGACCTTATAAAATGAGTGAAAAAAATAAAATACCGATACGATAAAAAATATATTTTTTGATTTTTTTTTTGTAATAAAAGGAAGTGTAGAAATTTCATTAACTATTACACAACTTATAGACATGAAAAATCACTGAATTAAATCTGTTTAAATCATAACAGATAATAAAATGTATGGATTAATTATACTCATTTTCAAAATAATAGGTATTAATTGTGGCATTAAGATAGCCTTAGCCCATGATCAACATAATTCGGCCCGAAATTATGGAACAATTTTTATGCGATCAAAAAGCAAAGAAATAATTTCATATTATTAAAATATGTGCAAGTTTCACCACAATTGGTAAATGATAAAAATACAAATATTATCATCTTGGTCAAACCACAATAGTGGTGTGATTTATTATTACTGTATATCTGATATATCGATATTATCTGTTATGTTTGTTGTCGATCATACAATGGAAACCTCAAAATGCATTTTGTTAAAGGGAAAATATACTTTAATGAGATATAGGCACTTAGAGAAATATATACATCTTTATATATTTAGACTGAAGTTTTATGAAGTAATTTAGAGAACATGATAACATGTACGTACGAACGTACAGAACGTACTTTTAGAGAATCGACCCTTCTCTATTACATATGTGGACGTATTTTCATTCTATTAACAGTTAATACGTACATATCAGATATATGATGATCGCCCATTTATATTTGACAAGACGACTTAAATTAGTGTCGTACATTTTTGGTCTTTTTTTTTTAGTCTTTTTTAGTACGTATGACCAACATGTTTTACGTACACTATAAATTATCGCTATGTTGTCATAATTTTTTATTGGTGTCTGAAACAACACTGGTGTAACATATTCAGCGACCAGGGACCGGAAAATTTTTGATTTTATATATCGATCGATATCGATATACTGTAGCAGCTAATTATCAAACGTTTCACACAAGCAGGTGATCAGATGACACAAACATTTAAACACTAAATTATTTATTAGTTACAGTAATTTAGGATACATCCGTTCTATTTCTGTATTCTGCAAATTAATAACTTATTTCTCCTGTTATGATAATTTTTTTATAAAAATGCCATCAAAATCATCACAATGGTTAAAAGAAGCAGTAAATAATGGTTATATAGAATTCATTCCATACGAATCATTTACAAATCATAAAGAGATAGCTCGAGGAGCATATGGAGAGGTTACAAAAGCATATTGGTCAACGGCTGAGAAGACTGTTGCGTTAAAATCTTTATTCGAAAGTGCTGAAACTGAAAATGATAAGGGTTTTGACGATTTTATTAAAGAGGTTTTAATTAAATTTCATTATAAAATTGCGTCAAAGTATTATACAAAAATTTATTATATGGATAGCGATTTTTAATTTTAATTTTAATTTTTTTTTTTTTTGATATAAAAATAGTTTCAGTTGATTCGAGCAGTTGATTATCATGATAATGTTATTCGATTCTATGGAATTAGTCAAGGTGGGTTTTAATCATAACTTCATTTTTCTTGTAATTAATTTATTTCCTTCTTTAATTATGATAATTATTAATTTAATTCTTTTATTTTTATTTTTTATTTTTTTTTTATCATAAAAAAAGATCCAGCTACATCAAGATTTTTTATGGTACTACAATACGCTGATGGAGGAAGCTTAAGAGATTATCTTCATAAAAATTTTAAAAATCTTGATTGGAAAAAAAAGATTTCTATGGGAAAACAAATTGCTAGCGGGCTTAAATGTATTCATGACCGAAATATTGTACATAGAGATTTGGTAATTATTATTTTTAATATGATTGAATAATGAAATATTTTATTATATTAGCATTTATTATATAATCATGTATTTAATTAATTATTATTATTATTTTTTTTTTTTGATAGCATTCAAAAAACATATTAGTTAACAATGATCACTTGATAATAACCGATTTCGGCCTTTCCAGAGTAAGCGATTCTAACACAAATTCAGTTCTAACTGGAATGTTTGCATATTTGGAACCACAAAGTTTCATCGACTCTAAATATAAACGTGACAAAAAATCGGATGTATACAGCCTTGGTGTATTACTTTGGGAAATATCGAGTGGACGACCTCCATTTGATAATCAAAATATTTTCGATATATCAAATAAAGTGAAAGAAGGGGAGAGAGAAAAACCAGTTGATGGAACACCAGAAGATTATAGAAAATTATATGAATGGGCATGGAATCAAAATCCGGATGATAGACCAAGTGTTGATATAATTAGGGCGGAATTGGAGAAGATGTTAGAGAAGTATAATGGGAATGCGAATAACGTAAAGAATACATCGAATTTTATGCCACCAAAGTCACCATCACTATCAACAATTCCTTATAACCAACCAAATAATAATGCTAACAAACGGTTTTCTCATAATAATGTACCACCAACTTATCAACAACCAGGAACATTTAATGCAAATTTTGATTATAATGCCAATATTAGTCGAACTAATTCTGATCCCAATCTTATTCAAAATTATTCTCCATATCCTCAACAAAATCAGCAAATTTATCAACAAATGCCACCATATGCTAATAATAATAACACCGCTATACGACCATTACCTCCAATACCTCAATTCAGCAATCAAGGAGGAGTGATGGTTCAGCAACAATATCCAAATAATGCACCTAATATGAACCATACTTTCTCGTCGCAAAATCATGTTTATAATAACGTTGAGATGAATTCTGGAATGAATAATCCTAATCAATTTCAACAACCTCTGTACCACTCCGTGAATGCCGGTCAATCACAAATGTACCATCAACATTCTAATCAAAATTTTATGCCAACCAACTTTAATAATCAAAATCAGCCATCTACGGGGAATGCTCAAACTATGATGACTACTTCCTCAATAAATACTTTCCCACAATCGGTTCCTAACCCTGGCTATCCCATTGGGCAACAGGCACCTATAAATTATCCACCTTGTGCGTACTATTTTAATAATTGTTAAAAAAAAATTTTTTTAATCTTTTAAAAATACAAACATTTATGACATCTATTTGTAATATTTATAGATCAACAAGGCGTACAACCAGGCGTACAACAATCTGGTCCTTTCATGGTACGCATGTTTTTTAAATAAAAAATATCCTGTTTTTGAACTCTAAATTTTAATTCTAACTCTAAAACATCTCTAATAAATTTATTTTTTAAAAATAAAAATAAAAAGCGCCGTCCGTCATGTCAAAAAATCATAACAGATTACAAACTTAACGAATGTCACGCTGGCTACCATGCAGAATTAGGTGATATTGAAGGCATAGATTATCACTTATCCAATGGTTATGGTGGAGGTGTTAACGATATTTATAAAGTTAAAGATTTGAACGATTACTTGTATATTATAGTTGCTAGGTATTGTGATGATATTAAAAAAGTGGAAGAGATTCTTTATTTATTATTAAGACATTATAATAATTATAATAACCAGTTAAAAGATCCTAGTAAACGACATAATCTCACATGGACTTCGGCAACGGGTGGTAGGACAGTGTTGCATTGTTTAGCTGCAAATGATAATTTAATACGTGGTATAGATATTTCAAAAGAAGGTAATGAAAATGATAAAAAGAAACGTGATAGATTTCATTCTCATATTACGAAAATTATCGAATTCTTAGTTAATAATGGATGTGATATAAATGCAAAGAATGATAAAGGACGAACTGTTTTAGGACTTTATTTGAGTAAGAACTTTGCAATATTAGCAAGAGTTATTGAAATTTTATTAAAAAATGGTGCAGATCCGAATGTTGGTGTTACTGTTAAACATGGTAGTCTTTCAAGGGGATCGAGTTCGAAAATCGATATAAATAGTATTCCAAAAAACAAAAATAATAATGAAAATACCAACAATCCTAAAGAACCGGATAAGCGAGATCTCAATTTTCCAAATATGTTATTCTTGGCTATTTGGTATAGATGTTTACCTGCCGTTCTTGATTCATTGAAAAACCATAATGTGGATTTAGATAAGGGACATGAGAATCTAAACGAATTAAATTTGTTAAAGATGTGTTTACAAAAGTCACAAAGCGGAAGACCTAAACGAGTTGATTACAGGGAAGGATTGGAATGGGTATTAAATAATGTACCAAAAGTGTGCGGAAAGGCGAATTTAGAAGAAGTTAAAAAACTTACGGATAAGAATACTATAGAACGGAAGCTGATCAAAGAAAAAATTGGGAAAAGAAAAAAGATATTTGGTATTGTTTAGAATTAAAAAAAAAAAAAAAAGTGTACATATTTTAGAATGATTATTTTTGTTTAACCAATTCATCATCATATTTTCTTCTAACATTTATTTAAGGTTATTAATATTTATATTTAAAAAGTAAATTAGTATTGTTTACAGGGTAACAACATTAAAGCTTTGTGTGTTTTGGAAGACCTTTTTCAGTATAATAAAGGAAAAAAAAAATAGTTAAATTCTATAATGGCTCTATTTATTAAGATACAATACAGAGTACGTACACATATATTTAGTACTGTACGATATAAAGATTCGTTCTGTACTTTTTTTTAATTGTTTATACAGTACCGTACACTCCCTATTATATAGGATATAGATAAGTAAGGGTGAACTGTACTGCAGTGAAAGCTTTTTTGGACATGTCCAATGTCCGAACGTCCAAGTGTCCAAAGTGTCCAAGCTGTCCATAGCTTTAAATATTTTAGTAATAGAAATAAAAATTCTATAATTATATTCTTTGTTTAATTCTAACCATTTTTGCTTAAAAGATTTGAATAGGTTTTCTTAATAAAATTTTGAATAAATTTCACTTTATTTTTTTGTTTAAAATGTCCAAAATGTCTAAAATCATGTCGTCCATATACAACACTGCTGTACTGTATTTTTTAACTGATCGTACACCCAGAAATATGTATATAGCAAATAAAAATTACATAGTAAAAATCATTCAAAAGATCAATTAATAAATTATATACAAATCGATAAAAATTACGTAGTAAAGAGATCAATTAACAATAAACAAATTGATTAATTCTCTTTCGCTTTCTAAAAAGTAAATAATGGATCGTTTTACGGATACTATAGCTATACAAGACGACGTTATAGGGATTATTGATACCAATACTGCTAAATACTGTTGAAGTTGAGGAATTTGGTTTTTGTTAGTTACTAAACTGAATTTATTTGGTATATATATTGTTAATAGATACATTTTTAAAAAACAGTTCCAAATATTTTGATAGTTGGGATACTGATTATGATTCAACAGAAGGTCTGCAAGACCCTAACTATCCACTAACAGTAAGTTAACTAACGCTATTTTTTTATTAATAAATATATAATTAATAAAAGGATTAATGTATTTATAATAATAGGCTACATGTAGCCGTAACTAAGATCAGATATAATGTAACTATCAAAATAATTGTTTTTATGAAAATAAAACCCACGATTAAGATTAGGGTTGGGGTGAGGCTTGGAATTTTATTTAAGCAGTAGTATATGCAAAATTTAGTGAGAAATTTTTTTCGTTAAAGTGTAGAAAATGGTTTTATAATCAAAATTTTGAGTTATTAGTGAATTTTTTTAAAAAATTAGCATTTGTTTTGCTAATTCTAAAATTTGATTAGTCTTATTAGATGATCATATGTAGCTGCAGCTATATGGAATATCATCAACTAAAAGAATCTATTTTTACTTTTTTTTTATTTATTTATTTTATTTATTTATTTATTTAATATATTAAATATAGAAAGCAAATAGTTACATAATAAATATCAAGTTGATATTAAATTTAAACTATTATTAGAATTTTTATATAGTACTATATAGTGTAATATATTACCTTTAATTTTCTATTTATAACTAGTTTAAGTTAAGTTAAAACAAAGCTACTGTTACAAGTATGTAACTTTCTTAATACAATACAAGTAACATAAAATATGAAAGAAAAGCTCTTAACAATATAAAAGTAGAATATTATATTATTGTAGCAGTTCATTATATAAAGATTTTTTTTCTATTTAGGTAATCTTGCTTTTTCTTTATTAGGAGAAAATATATACATATGTTAAAACAAAAATAAAAACTATACTAAGCTAGCTCTATAATTGTTCTCCACTATCAAGTTCAGACTCACTCAGCTATTATTTAGTATCTAGATATGATTAGTCACAATAGTAAATTTTTTTTCTAAAAAAGAGGTTTGCCTAAGCAAAGTCATTCTCTATTAATCTATAGAAGGCTACCATGTGCCTATCAAGACTTTTCTACTACTCTACAATTGAAGACCATCAATTTGATGATATCTTCTCATAGAGAGAAAAAAAGAAAAAAAAATTTTTTAAGGAAAGAGAAATAGGGTAAGATATAAAAGAGTAATAAAGAAGAGTAAAAATAAAATTCGAACAAAAATGAAAAAAGGAAAATCCTGAGTAAAAATTAAAGATACTATATACAAAAAATGTACTATCCTAGAGCATATACTGCATATATAAGAAAAAGTAAAACTAAAAGAGACTAAAGTTGACTATATAACTGCATAGCAGAAATACTGTCTGTGATAAAAATTGTAAATAGTATTAATATGAATACTATCTATCTCAAATTAACTCTAATCTATTTTCATATCCATATCATGATAGATATATGACTAGCTAAAATTACGTGTGTTGTTCTGTTATTGTTGTTGTTCCAATATATCATCTGTTCTAATTAGGATGTAGTACTGATATTGATCCTTTATCAGGAATAAGCTAGTTTTCTACTTTTCCATAGCGAAAAGCTACAAAAAATATATTTATTTGTGTTAGTTAAAGAATCTAGCAAGGTTGCTGCAAAAACTATCTACAGAGTAAATGAGAGGTGTAGTATCTGTTTGTATACAGAACACTATTGGTTTAAACTCCTTCTTCTCCTCAACTTCTTTCTATATCTTTACTTCTTGACTTGAATATTCTATAAAGTAAACTTTTAGCTAAAATTTTAATATTATCATCTACTAGATCTTTTTGTCTTTTATTGCCTTGTAGGACTTATTAGGCTGTGCAACTCATGCTTCTATTCAATACTAAAATTTTACAGAGTTTCCTTAAGTTTTATAAATTATTTTATATATCGAAGTCTTTGCTCTGTGTTAGTTTAGATGATTAGCAAATTGAGTGTGAATATGATGAATAATATTTTTTTATTATATAAAGATTATAAAAGATCAAAAATTATATTTATTTAGAATATAATATTATTAATATAGAATTATTTTTACTATTATTTAATAGATGATTAGAGAAGACAAATTCTTAAGATAATAGAAGATTGTAAAGTGCAAATCTCTAAAATAATAGAAGATTATAAGAAACAGATCTAATTTGAAACAAAAACAAAAAGAAGAGTTTATATAGTTTTTTAGAAAAAGTAAAAAAAAGTAATAAAGGTAGAAAACAATACTTCTTATTAATTATTCTAACCAAATTTAGAGCAAAAAAAAATCAAGATAATTTAAAATTCTCATTAGGCACAAAAGATTAAGCTACTAACTAAAAAAGAAGAGAAGAAAAAAATATATATACTAAAGAAAAAATTTTAAAAAAACTAAAAGAAAACAAAAACTATAAAAAAAGTTCAAACTCAGAATAGACTTTGAAATTTTTTTTTTTAGAAAATTAGAGAATCAAACATACCTTGAGATATAGTTTACTTTATATAGTACAAATATATAAAAAATAAAATAAACAAAAACATATTATGAAAAAAGCTATATATTATATATTAAAGCAAAAATAGTATATACAAAACCAAAACTAGACAAATCACAAATAATTAGAAAAAGTTATCAGAAATTATTAAAAAAAGGTAAGGTTATTTTAAAATATAGTATATAGAGTTTTAATTAAAAGAGAAGTAGAAAAAACAAAGCAAACAACTTCTACAGAGCTTTTAAAAGAGAGATAATTAAATAAAAATATCTAAAATATAGAAGAAAAAAAAGACCAAGTAACTAATTAAGAAAGTAATAAGAAAATATGATAAAAAATTATAATTGAGAGCAGCAATGCAGTATTAGAATTAAAAGAACATCTGAATAAAATAATAGCTAAACTAATAGGTGTAGAATTAGAAATTATCAAGATTACAAGATAGTAGTATAAAGTAATTAAAAAAGCTACAATAACTAATAGATTTAATAAAATAAGAGCTTTAATAGAATTAGAAAAAGAAAAAAGAATGAGTTTAACAAAAGATAAAGTAAAAACAGAAGTAACTGAAATTAAATCAGAGGAGAAGATTCAAGTAATCTCTAATATCTCAATATACTCACAAGAGCAAATAGTATTAAACAAGTTTACTAATAA